GATTACGAAATCTGGCAGATGGACGTCAAAACGGCTTTCCTTAATGGAAACCTCCTTGAGGATGTCTTTATGACACAACCTGAAGGGTTTTGCGCTCCTGAAGAATCTACCAAGGTATGCAAGTTGCAGCGATCAATCTACGGATTGAAGCAAGCCTCACGGAGTTGGAACATCCGCTTTCACGAAACTGTCATCGGCTTTGGTTTTGAAAGAAATTCGGATGAATCTTGTGTATACAAGAAGGTCAGTGGGAGTGCTGTAGTCTTCCTTGCTCTGTATGTTGATGACATACTGCTCATAGGAAACGATATTCCTACTTTAACCACCGTCAAAACGTGGTTGAGTAAGAGTTTCTCTATGAAAGACTTGGAAGATGCCAGTTATGCACTTGGCATAAGGATCTATAGGGATAGATCACGGAAGCTATTAGGTCTCAGTCAAAGTACATACATAGACAAGGTCCTCGCTAGATTCAGCATGTCTGAGTCGAAACGAGGAAGTTTGCCTATGGCCCAAGGCACGAGTCTTTCCAAGACTCAGGGTGCTACCACTCCGGAGGAAGTAGAACGCATGAGAAATGTTCCTTATGCGTCGGCCATTGGATCCATCATGTATGCGATGGTATGTACGAGACCTGATGTCGCCTTTGCTTTGAGTGTCACGAGTAGATACCAGTCCAACCCTGGCGAAAGCCATTGGACGGCTGTGAAGAACATCCTTAAATACTTCCGTAGGACTAAGGATGCCTTCCTGGTATATGGCGGAAAAGAAGAGCTCAGTATTGTTGGATATACTGATGCCAGCTTCTAAACTGATAGAGATGACTTCAAGTCACAGGCAGGGTATGTGTTTTGTTTGAATGGCGGAGCTGTTACCTGGAAGAGTTACAAGCAAGATACTACCGCTGATTCCACTACAGAAGCAGAGTACATGGCTGCAGCCGAGGCAGCCAAGGAAGGTGTGTGGCTCAAGAATTTTATTACTGAGCTTGGAGTAGTTCCTAGCATCAAGAACCCTATACCGTTGTTTTGCGACAACAATGGGGCAATTGCACAAGCGAAAGAACCTCGGTCTCACCAGAAGACCAAACACATCGTTAGACGTTATCACATCATACGAGAAATCGTTGCACGTGGGGACGTTGAGATTTGCAAGGTAGGTACAGACGACAATATCGCGGATCCGTTGACGAAGGCTTTGGGAAAGCCTAAACACGAGAGTCATACGTGGTCCATGGGCATTCGAGAAATGCTTGATTGGCCTTAGGGCAAGTGGGAGATTGTTGTATTTAGGTGACCTAGCGGCAATCAAATACCTATGTAACTGTACACTTTATCATGAATGAAAGGCCTTGAAGTATGTTTTATATCTCGTGTAACATAACATAGCTTCAGTCCATAGACGATAGCGCTTCAGTAACATAGATGAGGACTACGATGTTCTGATTATGAGACTGTTACTTCTTGAAGAAGGCTGTGTCTAGAATATCCCTAGTCGCACTTTATGATAATACGGACGTCATAACGTATCAAGACTAGTACGTACGAGATGAGATAGTTGCGTCTCATAGACTATAGGTATTGTGATATCTTAATCTGTACGTAGGTGCATATTATATTGATAATATGTGACTGGATTGACCCATCTTGCGAATACTGGATGGATCTACAGTAATGTGTTTATCAGTATTCTCAAATCGACCTTGCTATAACTATCCTCAGACTTGAAGTTATTACATTCTCTGATATGTGGGGCCGTATGCTTTGATTCATAACTAATGCTATCTGAAATACTGGTAGACGTACAGTTATGCGTTGGGTATGCCGCTAAGCATATTTAGAGATGTGAATAACAGATACAGGATCTGTCCCTTCTACTGTATAGAAGTATAATGTCAATGGGCCCACTGAATAGTAGGACTTGGGAAAGTGCATGGCCATGCCCAGATATGTCGCTATCTAGAGACTGATAAATATCTGATCCCTGCCAGTCTACTTGAGATTCAGTAACAGCTGATTTAACTATACAAGGATACACATCCCATGCCTTGTGTTAAATCATGACAT